GGGGCATTTTTCAACGCAATTTTTAGATTCGGCCGTGTCTGTTCCGAAGGTATCAGGCGAGGCGCCAAATACGCTCGCCCCGCATTGGCCCAATGGTTGTCAGGGAATAGACCGGATTCTAATCAGCTGCTAATCTCCTTCGTACAACCAGAACCTAAAGCGGACATGGAGCCGCTAATTTACGTCCCTGACAGGAATAAAAATTTTGATTGGGTAGGTTGCGCCAATAAAAGCGCTGTATCACGCTGAGTCCTTCAGTCTAGAGCAGATAACATAAGTGGATGTACTCGTTCCCAACTTCTCATCCAATGAATTGTGAACCGTATATCTCTATAATAAGTACTCGATAAATCGTTATTCGGTGCCTCATTGTTCCGTAATCACTATCACCTTGAATTATTACCGGACTCATCCTCAGGTCTCGTGATACCTGTTCTAATCTCACTAACTACTTATACGTGAGGTTTGTAATAGAAAACCATTATCTCGCTCAAAAAAAAGTCTCGTCTCAACATGCAGGAAACGTTGATCTGAGATGTGGTCCATGAGAGAGGTACGGCTATCGTAATTGTCATTTTCCTCCATTAAACCGAACTTGGTTACTCTTTCCTGCCTACTTGGCTGCTTTTTTCTCAATTTGGCTGTTCTTGATTGCTCTTTTATCAGCGATATTTGGTTATTCTTGGTTGCTCATGTTCACTCCGTCCAACTTCATTGCTCTTCTTTTCTCAATCGAATTTAGTCAAGTGGGCTGCTGTATACTCCAAGCGGGTTGATGGTACCCTTTTCGATCGCAATCCAAAATTGACATCCTCTTAAATACTTCAAGTGCTCAAATTCTGCTAAAGTTCTGGACCGTATAAATATCTGCAAACAGCAATCGGCCTTTAATTCCATCAATACTAGGCAAGCCCATTTCGTACCGAACACAGCATCCCAAGCTTCTGCTTGCTCGCTTACTATCTTTCCCATAGCAGATCTCTCGCATTCTTATGATAAATACCATATCCTGCCATTAATCGCTCAAAAACTCTCAACCATCCCCGAATTCCAACTTCAGACAAATCTATGTTCAATATTATAATATCGAGTCACTTATCTGTTCTCATGAGTGCATACGTGAACGCATATGTACACATATGTTATTCAAGGACAAATAAGTTCAACACATGTTCATTCTATTCATATGTCCTTGAATCAGGCGCCGCTCCTGCGCTCTGCATTTAGCGCGCCATCTGTCTTCTGCTACTTTTCAATCTCTGCAATCATCCTATTACAGAACAAAAATCTCCAAATTCAATCAAAAATATTCAGTTAGGAAGAAATTGTATACAAAAATAATTATTTGATTTATTAATTAACCTTAATTTTTTCATTGAGATTTGATTGATTAAACAATCAACAATTAATATATTGAGCAAATATATTATGCAATGATGCAAATGACAACCACAAGATTGACGAGGTTGAGCTGGCGAGAGCAAAATAACAATTGAACTAACAGGTACGGATGGAAGCAACATGAAAATGATTCGGACAATAACACGTTGAAGAAAAACGAAACCAAATAACTAGAGTGGATTCGAGATTATATTAATGAGCGCAAGACGAAAATTTGATGGAAGATGATGTGGATGAGACAGAAAGCGAATTGAAGAAAAAAGGTGATGACAGGACTAGTGACACATGCTAAATAAGCAGGGAAGATGCTGATATGGCTAAGAGCAACATCAGAATATGAAGGAGAAAATGGTGACGTGGCTCTAGAGCAACACTAGAATTAACTAAAAAAGATGTGGTTGAGAGTAACACTAGAATTAAATAAAGAAGATGATGATGTGGATGAGAGCAAAGCTTGAATTGAATAAAGACGATGACGAGTGGATAAGAGTAACACTTGAATTCAATAGAGCAGGTGATGATGTGTATTATTGAATAAAAAAAGATTAATAGAATATTGAATAAAGAAGATGATGATGTGGATGAGAGCAACACTAGAATAAATGGAGAAGACAATGTGGATGAGATCAACACTAGAATTAAATGGGGAAGATGGTGTGCATGAGAGCAGTACTGAAATTTGAAGAAGAAAAACAGTAAATGCTGACGATTGGCCTTGCAAGAGACGAGGCTCAAGATCAACAAAACTGAGAATTGGAGATCGAATGGAAAACTCTTTGGGCACTTGAGCAATTTCCCCGCAATGAAGAGCTGGAAAAAAGAGCAAGTCTTAGAGGGAGAGCTCGTGGAGTGGAGATATATCGACTCGCAGTTAAGAGCAGGCCAGCCATGGGAGACGCCACGAGATGCCCAGACATCAGTTCGGGCGGCCACCTGTTGGCGTGAAGGCTTCACTTGTTGCTCCTGTACGCGCCTAATATCTGGTCAGAAATTTTTGTGTTGAAGTGATAGGCTGCCATTGGATGGTAGGCCCTCAAGTCATCTAATTTCCTTTGACATCCAGTTTATCTTAATATTTTCTTTGGTGATTAAAATGAGTTTAACAATAACCTATAACTTTAGTTAAAAGTAGATTGAGCTGTAGACTTGTTCGCGCTCATTTTCAGTAAGATTTTATAAGCTCAACCAGCAATGTAAATCAGGGTTCATATACTCAATCTTTTTTCGAGAAGAGGAAATATTGTCTGTTATTACTGCCTACTGCCGTTTTATCGGAACTACTGACAAACCCCGCTCTACAAATGATGAATCCATCTGAAATAAAGTTCTTCATAATTGAAAAGGCCCATATTTCACCCATGCATGAGGGCGATTGATATCATGTCAGAAAGTAGACATGACAAAAACATTAAGCGTAAATTTGAACTGCAGATCAATCGCACTGAAACCGTGAAAACCCAAAAACAAAAATCATTCAAAATTTTTTTATTGACTTTGCTGAGTGACTTATTGGGTGAAGGAATCATTGAAAAAAATAACTGTATCAAAATAAGGAAAACGTAGTAAAAATCGACATGGGAGCAAAGATTTTCCTCTTGGTGAACCGTCCGATAAAACATAAGATGAGTCGTTCATTTTTGAAATTAGTCGCAAATTTCAATAACTCAGAAAATATTACCTTCATGCAGTAATAAGCGAAGCGTCCGTTATTTAACATCGTGCCCCAATAATCCGGCTTTCTTAAATACGTACATCATTCTACGTCGTATTGTATGCTTGTATGCCATTCATTCTTATTCAATCCGCTGCCAGTTCGACTTGTTTTATTTCCTTCACAAACCATGAGGTCTTAGCCGCGCCAGCACTCCTTCAACATTGCCGTCCGTTACCTCTGTGTTCGTGTTTGCTTGACGTCCCTGTCGGCTTGAGTGTCAAGTAATATGGATAGTATTTGAATAGAGGCTTTACCTCTGCAAAGTAAGTTGCCAAGCCGTACACCTCCGTTCAACAGTACAGTACAAGCTCCCGGTCTACACCGGGCTTCTTATCTCACTAACCTTATCTCGATCATAAATTGATCATAGCAGCAATTAGAACTTTAGAAGCTTATGATAAAATAAGTAATACAGCGGATGAATGACATAGATTCCACAAACTAAAGCTACGAGTGTATTCATATTTACAGAATTAGCAGGCATGAGTCTATTAACACCATGGTCTCGATGTGCGCCATATATGTGCACTTAAAACTTTCCAGAATCGTGATGTGTACATGTGTGGTACATGTCTATGAAAATTACATATTTTTATAAAAACCATATTTCTCTTCAGATTTACTATTTTAACGATACAACTCAATAGGCCTGTTAGGGAGGGCTTTGAAGTCAACTGCTGCTTGAAGAAACGGTTTTATTTTCAAATACCAGTGGTACAAATATGACAAAATTCGTGTCCACTGATGAAAGCAAAATGTTGGTATTGTTGCACAGAAAAAAAAATTTCTTATTCCTCTGAAACTACGAACATTGGGTGTTGCCATCAGCATTATATTGCATGCGTGATTGCAAAACAATTAACGCACAAGCATGGTTTGCCTTCACAGTCATCGCTGTGTGTTTTTACCCTGCCAATTTCACCCTTGCTACGGCACTTCCCTCATTTGCTGAGACAATTTTGTAGCATTCATGGCATGCGCTTCCTGGTTTTGGTTGCAGTTGATTCAATCAAAGTGCGCTTCCCTCTTTTCCCCTCGATATTTTGAGATCTACGTCCAGATTTTACACTCTCTTAGTGGCTGCCTGTAACGAGAAACATTGCTCTTTGCTCCCAAAATTCTGTATATGAAACTGAAGTGCGAGAATAGTACTTGTTGAAGAGTACCCATGCATTGACAATACTGATGTGTCAGTTAACAGTTCAAATGCCTCTTTCCGGTATCATTTTGTGCTTCGTCTTAGAGCCGTACTATACGAAGTCATCTGGTCTGAGATGTCTACGCCATTTTTAACTGTCTTATAATCAATTACTCATCCTGGCTTCAGAATTTCAACGCCATTATGGTTTTTCTTGCCCGATGGAACTAATGAATACGTGTGCTCTGAAATAGTTGAGAGGCACAAGACAGATCGCTTGTCTTTTCAATGATATACTTTGATCCAGCGACGTTCTGTTGCGATGATATACAAGTTTGAACTTTGACCCTGTTGCCCGTACGGCAGACGGACCAAATCGGCAATGGCGGACAAATTGTTAAGATTACCTTATAAATAGACCAAATTAAACATGAATATGAATTAACCTGAAGCGTTTGAAGATATCGAGCTCATTATTTTAAAAGCGCACTAATGGTGGGCTGAGATTTGAAAAGTTGTTTTAAATTAAAAAAAAACTTCACTTAACGACGTCACTGAATAAAGTTGTCTGTGAAGCCATGCATCATGCCAGGACAGCTGTGCACCATTGCCAATAATTTATTAATTAACGGTAATTAATTACCATCACATCACTGTGGTCAAGAGTAATAAAAAGAGACTGTAATCTGTAGCAATTTAATTCATACGATTTCCCTGAGCAGATTTTGCTGGAATATTCTTATTTAATTGAATTTTCAATCAAATTTATGCCTGCAGCAGTAAAAAAATGAACACCAAGGAGTTCCGCAGCGCTGCTTATGAGATGATTGACTACATCGTCCAGTACTATGACACGATACGTGACAGGTGAGCAGTACTATGACACGATACGTGACAGGTGAGCAGTACTATGACACGATGCGCGACAGGTGCGCGTTACAAACGCAAATACCGCGCCTGTGGACTCTTCGAAACGTACGCTGTGTAAACCAGAGGCTCTTCGGTTTCGGGCTTCGCTCTTCACAAATGTTTTCGAATTGTTACATTCTCGCATAGCCTAGCTATGGTGGAATCGATATGCTGTTTCGTGAAATTCTTAAGTCGGCAATTATTCACTCGTTTAACATTACGCGCTGCCTACTAGGAATTAGGATCCAAAATATTCTGTTAATCAAATGCGCATTCAAAAGCTCGATGAAAAGATTTAGTTTGCGATACATCAGAAATCTGATTAATACAAAATACTATTCATAAAGAGATGGATAGTCATTGATTGAGCTAAACTGTCATAAGCGCCTAATATTTTGACTTTATAATATATTTTGGCCTCAATTAAGTATCAAGATGAGAAATTCTTATTTTTTATTCATTTATTATTCATTATTGATGCTGTTTGAGAAATGTTTATAAATTTTAACTTGTCTCGTCTATGTGTCTACCACACAAACAGAACAGCAACTGTCAAAACAGACGATCTCATACATGCCCTCTGCAAATTTTAACTGGGTTTCTCCAGGGAGCTTATATAGCTGGAAGGGTCCTCCAGTTATATAGCTGGAGCCTCCCTGGAGGACTGGGTTCCGCCAGGGAGTCTCTCAATAATTTTACAACTATAGAGGGTCTGTAGCTCTTACCCACTCTCCATAGCTCCAAAGCTTTTCCCCACTCTCTATAGCTTTATAACTCGGTATAGCAATTTCACATTCTCTATAGATTTTCACAAACGACGTGCCATCACAACCACCCAAAACAGACTGCATGGCATTTGCAGACATTACACAAATAACAACCAGGCGATACTCGTACAACGATGCATTGATTAAACTCTCAACGATGCATTGATTAAATTTAAACATATTCGAAAATATACTTTCAAGAGCAACACCACTAAATTAAGAATCATCCCCATAAGAAGGCGGAAAACATAGCAGACATATTCATATACAACATTCCACCAGTCATTCAGAGACAAAATAAAAGGAACAGTTTCAAGATAATATGTTTCATACACTGAGAAAGAACCCTTAAGGCAATAGCTCCTACAAATCTAAATAAAATGCACAGGTTTTACTCTCTCTAACAAAACATGAAACACTTCTACACATAACCTTTGTCAGATCATGACATGACTACTACTCATGTCCTTACAAACACTGCCTGAACAATATGACTCACACACCATTAACAAAGTTATCCACCGTTAAATAATCGCACAAACCTTGATCCACAATCAATACATATGCACCCATATCTTCAAAACAGACGTCAAAGCCGCTACAAAATGACAGGTATCAATTATTCCAATGATATTAAAATAAAATTAATTACTTTTCAATTTTATTCTAAATTTCGTGAAATCATAAACAGAGAAAAACCTTAACCAAAAATTCTTCTATACTCCTAAACAAAGGCGTCCTCTGGCCTCTGTGGAGCCGGGATACCTGCGCCCCTTGATCCCGTCGTCCGCCCCCACGGCGCCGGAGTCCTTCTCTGACATCATGAATGACGTCGAACGCTTCATCCAGCCGGGGGTAAGAGTAGGAAGATGCAGGAACGATAAATAAAAACAACCTTGCCAGGCATATCAACTATCATTACGGAACTCACATTCTGAATAATTTATTATAAATGTATAACTGGGAAAGACTTTATCGTCTGTAAAAAGTATCTAAATGAATTACTAAACTCAAATAAAACACTTTTATTGATAATTTTCGGTAGCGTTTCGATAGACATTGTTTAATTGGAACCGGCATCGAGTAAAACAAACGTTATAATGTGTAAATCGATCTCGACTTTGATTTGTTTATGACGAAGGAGACGGTAACTAGTGTATAATAATTAACAATTTTTTTTTGCCACAAGATGACGCAGTGGATGAGTCCTCACTTCCATGCATATTTCCCCGCGGGTAACAGCTTCCCGTCTCTCCTGGGGGACATGTTGTGTGGAGCACTCACATGTATCGGCTTCACGTGGGTGAGTGGAATGAAGGCGGAGTGAAATGTTGAACAATGATGCGGTGCAGTCATTGCACGAACATGAGTCCAGTACAATGAAATGGATGAACAAGGATGTTATGTTGTAGGTAGATGGAAATGGGTGCGGTTCGGTGAATGACGTGGCATCGATGCAATGCTCATGTACCATATATATTATACTCATGTATGAGTGGATAGATATGGATGTGATGCTGTGAATGAAGGGTTGGATGTGGTGTTGTAGATGGACGTACATGGATGGGATGCGGCAAGTAAGTGAACATTGCTGTAGTGTCTTCAATGTCTTTTATTTCTAGGCTTCGTCCAGAAAATTCAAAACCATTTGTTCATGAATATTTAGATTTGCACATTTACGTTGATCATGCTTCTCGTGCGTATGTGATGTAAACATTCGTAAAATGAGAATATATGCAATGCAAAAAATAATATAACTCAGTCCTCACTGCAGTGAGTGACAGAGAGCGCATTTTCTAGTCGACGAAAATGTGAAGTCACGGACAGACGGACGGACGGACAGACAGACGGACTATAGCACCTTGTTTCCATAAATGAGAAAATGCGCTAATAATAAAGTTAATATCAAGCTTATTATCATTAGTATTTTACTTTTAATATGGATATTTGCCGTTTTGGTATACTTCTGCCGGGCTCGTTGAATGGATCCGCTTAATTCATAACATATGAGTACAACTGTACAAGCTGCAACATAGATTTCATCTTTTTCGTACCATAAACAATAATCATGATGTAACAGTGACTAGTTTCACCAAATTTTCGTTCACAAAAATTTTCTTAACATTCAATGGCTCGATCACTTCCTCTGATCATCTGAAGAAAAGTTGCTTTTCGAATGGCCTTTTTGCAACAGCTAATGTTGCTGCAAATGATAGAGCTACTATAGCCACTGCGTGTTGACGGGTCATGGTTCTGACCCGAGAATACTTATTAATACTTAATTAGAAAAAAATTCGAATGTTATTAGTTCACAGAGTGCTCCTCGAAAACATGGGAAAGTTTTAGTCAGCACAGGCTGCTTATTCTATTTGGCACCTCCCTACTTTCTCTATTATAAAATATTGGCATGTAATGTTACGTTATTGCTAGAGTAAAAATGTTTCATTTTAGTTACAATTATTACGCATGAAATGAGAGTCATCTTATGATGAGAATTTACATCATATCTTAAAAGTTTGGCCCGCTCATTTAGTGTTTATCTTCACTAAGCATGTTGCAGTTTACATCGAATTATAAAAGTCAGTGAAAAGTTATTCTAAATAGCAAATTTGGCAGGTCACGTAGTATTGACGGCATTCTCTCGGTAATACAGTGACTCAACTAAAAAGTACTAAACTTTTTACTGAAGATTTTCACTCAAAAAATAGAGTTTTACTTTTTACATAAGTGGTTTCATAAAAAGCAGAATTGTAGCAGTGAGTTGAGAGTTCGAGACCGCAAAATGCTGTGAATGTTCTGCGGTGTTAAGAATCGGCGACAGGCCTACGGCCTACTAAACGCTGAAACAGCTATTATTATTATTTATATTATAATACAAATTCGCTTCGCTTGTTGCCTACTGAAAGTTAAAGACACATTTCTAAATCTTTAGCTATTAACATCAAATAAAAATTTACGTCTTTTACATAAATGGTTAATTGAAGATTATAGTACTAGCGATAAATCTGCCGACTTGCTTTTAAGCATCTCGGTAATGATAGATTATATTTCCTATTTACTGCACAAATCCTGCCATTGCAGGAAGCGTCTCCGGCGTGCACTGAGCTGGAAGTGATCATGCTGGACTGGCTGGCGCAGCTCATTGGTCTGCCAGATCATTTCCTCGCCACTTCACCCGGGTCTGGGGGAGGCGTCATTCAGGTGAGATCTTTATTTCTTGCGTAAGTTTAACAAATGAATATTGGTTTAAACGCGAATGTTTGTTATGTGTTTAATCTTTAATGTTTGAATGTTTGTTGCATGTGTAATCTTAAATATTTGAATGTTTGTTAAATGTTTAATCTCGAATGTTTGAATGTTTGTTAAATGATAAATCTTGAATTTTTACTGAGTTTAGTTAAATGTTTAATCTTACTTTAATCTCAGTATAAATTCAAGATTTAACATTCAACAAACATTCAAACATTCAAGATTAAATATTTAACTAACGTTCAAATATTTAAAAATGAACATGTAACAAACATTCAAACATTTAAGAATTAAGATTAAACATTTAACTAACATACTCAGTACTGAGAAGAAATCACCGTCTTAACAAGGCAACTGTCACTAAATATTGCCTGAACCAGCAATTTAATTTTCAAACACACGGTAAACAACGACAGGCTGTGAATTTTGAGCGGATTTTCTGACCCCCGTGTAGTTCATTCAAAGAGTTCCTTGTACCTTCTGTCTATACCATTATAATGTACATACGACTGCACTTCAACCATTCTCTTGTGCTTTTGCTCCCTCCATCCTCATGCCCTCTCCTCTTGCCCCGGACACAACGGGCTTGTCATGAATCCTGAGAAGCGGGCTCGGAACTCGTCCTGAAGCCCGAGCACCAGTATATGCTGTGAATTTCTTGCTCGAATTATTGCACACTTCCCCCTCTTCCATACACACCATGCACACTATTCCCACTTATTTGTGAGACAACATTCATATTTATTTTGCCTCAGTTCGTCATAGTAACAGGTGCTGCGAAGGTTTGCAGGGATTAGGTTGGGGCTAGCTGTGTCACTCCTAAATTCCAACGTATATTGGTTATTCGAGTCATAGCATTGCGAGAGGCGACTTTTTATACTGCTTGTCACTTATTTTTCGCTTTCTTGGATCGCGGTTTTCGTAATGGGTTTTGGTTTTCGGGCGTAGGGGGTCGTTCCTGGTGGTTTTGCAGTCCGTCTATGGTCCTGCTGAGTTTAGCGAGGAACGTCTCATGTGGTCATCGTCTATAAATTCGGTTATTTGGTTAAAGATGTCGTAGTTTGCATTCAATTATTTTGAGAATATGAAAGCTACGCCCTCTCGTCTGGCGAGGCTGGCTGTGCTTCAGGAATTATTGCTGTCAGTTTGATTTATGTGGTGTTGGTGAGAGTGAGGTTGTATTGAGTAATATTGTTTTTTTTTATATTATTTTTAATAATAAATCACGGTTTCAGCGTCGATCCGTCGCCGATTCTTAACATCGCAGAACAAACACATCTTGTTGCAGTCTCGAACACGCAACTCACTGCTCCAATCCTGATACTCTGAACTGTAGCGACTGGGCCACCCTATTGCGTATTTGGCTATTACGACGTATGTGTGTTGAGTTTTCTGTGGTTCTTGGTCTAATGTTGTTTGATGTTTCTTTGTGATAGCTTGTTTTCGGTATGGGCGGTTGGCGTTGAGTGTTATGTGTTATTGCTGGCAATTGAGACATTTTAAAATGTTTTCCTGCAATCTGTGTAGGTGTGGTCGTGAGATGGACACTCAGAGCAGGATTGTGTAGTAGCGGTAAGGAGGCTGTGAGGAGGTCTTCGAACACATGTGGCAAATGGTATATTGCTCTTGTTCCTACTGGGAGGGAGTAATTTTTGTACATGGCATATCCGTCGTTCAGAATGCGTTGTGTTATGGTTGTGTCAGTTGTGATTATTTTAAAATCTTGGACTTAGTATATGATTTTGATGGTATCTTGAATGTGCATCCCGTTTGGCAGTCTCGTAATTTCGTCCTTAATTTCTGTCGAAGTGTTTCGGCATAGGTCCTTGTCTAGAAGATGGGATGTAGGAATATTCATGTAGGTGGATTTTTCTGAAAATTTCGTTCGCTTTTTGGATGTAAATTCGTCGATAGCTGATACATCATCCATTCCTGTACAATAACTTTTACGGAGCCGGTGATTCTGACAAATGAAGAGTTGAGTTCATATGAGGTCGTTTGAAATATTGCATTCTGTGAATTGAGAGTCTCGGGTCGATTTTCTTGAGCTTTATTCTAAATGTCTCAGGTTCGAGCGAACAGGTGAGTTAGTTATTGAGGCGACTTGAGGGCTGATGATGGATGAAGTTATGATGATAAGGATTAAGTTTCGTGAAAGAATTCTGCCCCTAACCCGCTGGGACAAGCCCGGTGGGGTAGAAGCGAGAGATGGGGGCATGGGAAAGGAGATAGGTGGTAGGAGGCGCAACTCGGGTAAGTATTAGTGAGGCAGTTACATATACAATAAAATGGTAGAAAAAGAGGCACAAAAAAGAGTCACAATACCTAGTGACACGTACTTACGTCAGAGAGGCTGCAAAGAAATGCGGAAGATTTGGAGAGAGTACAGAGGACAGTATACCAGTACCACACCATTGCAGCCACATGGGGCCAGTGTGACATGATTGTATCTGAGAGCAATTTCACTGCACTCAGTTTCACGTCTGGTAGTTCGAATCTAAATATTTTGGAATCAGTGCATATTTTTAAACGAAAACGTCGTCTTAATAGCGCGTACAGTTCTGACCATCTTGAAATTATAAATCGGTATGTTTTTTTATGTTTCGTCTGTCATTCTATAATTAAGGTTTCAGTCTCTTTCGTGTATATATCGATTTTCACCACTGATTGTTCTGGTACTATATAAAAAACTTTGAACTGATAATGGAGATGGTCTTCGAAACATTTTCATTGAAGCGATGGTGAATTTACTTAGCGTATTTTTTTAGTTTTTAGGTCGTTGGTGAACTTGAGATTGAACAGACTTGCGATATAATAGGTTATTATACTCGAATAGAAATTATTATTGCGGGTAATAAGCCACCACTTTCTCCTCACTCCTCCGTGGAAACCATTTAAAGCCTTGACGGTTTTGACTCCCCTATCAAACTCCAACACAACCCCATACACTACAATTAACCGTATTATGCAAATAGCGCCTCATACGGGCGCCTCAAATTCTTTTGTGCAATTCTTGACACTCTGTGCCACCTCTTGCTTCTATTCTCCATTAGTGACATCGCGGAAAAACACACACCGCGAAACTTGTCTAACAACGTGGAACACATACCAAGTTTACATTTTTGCCGGGCCAAATTACTACAACAAAAGTTCAGTATTGAAGTGTTCACGTGGAAGTATGTAAAAAGAACGAGAATTTTTCAGGGCACGGCCAGCGAAGCGACTCTGATAGCCATGCTGGCCGCCAAGCAGCGAGCTCTCAAAGACTGCGTCGGGCATCAGGAAAAAGTCAAGAAAGCTCCTCTGCTGGTGGCTTACGCTTCAGGTAGAACAATTATTTCAATAATGCAAATTATATGTAATAATCTAACCTCCTATATTATTGGATACCGTAAAGTAAGTATTAAAATGACTCATGGATACACCTAAAAAAGAAACATAATATGATATTGATGTTCTCCAATCAATCATTAAAAAATTTTCAAACTGGTCGCCAATTAAATTTTCTTCTTATTTGAAAAATGATCTGCTCATTTTTATATGGCTTTTACATAAAGCAAAGCCTGCCAGTCTTCTTCGTTTACAAAATGAAAATCCTCATGATGTACAAATTTATTGCATTCAGTTACCATGAGACATTGAGTGTACAGGCTAGCATACACCAAGCCGTGTCAGCAGGAGCAAACACTTTAGCTTGTCCCGATGAAGGCATTAAACTTCTCAGCTCCGAGCGACAGTCGCGGTCTCACTGCCCTGTAACGCGGGTGACGAGGGCAGGGGGGCTTTGATGGTGACAGCCTTGATGTGGCAGTCTTCTTGCCGCATTTATATCCGACATGAAGCGGCCAAAATGGATTCTAGACGAAACGAAATTATAATCTATGAAATGAATTATAATTTTCGTACGGTTTAAACATTATGCACACCTTTCGTGGAGACATGATTAAAGGATTTGGGTGAATCAAATGAAAATGACTTGCGCATTTTCAACCTGTGCCATAGATGGCTAATGAAATAGAATTTTAATGGCAATAAGCAATGCTAATAGGAGTTAACCTTTCTAAAGTAGAAACAACATATCGAGATAGCAAACTAAATAATTTACTTATGTAACAATCAAAATCAGACAATGTATTACTTAACATCTGCACGAATCGATATTGCTAAGATTTTCGTAGCCCGATAATCATACACAATTTGAGTGAAACCGTGAGAAGAATATCTCACGATACAATGCAAACAGTAAACCTTCAACTACAAGGCGAAGCCGCGCAAAGATTATCTTGATATGCAATTCAAGGAGAAAACTTTCAACTCAAGACGATGCCTTAAGAAGAATATCTCAATAAAAAGCTGTTAGTAAGTGCAAAACGTTAACCTTCGACTGCATTAATTTAGCATTCGCTGTTGAACAAACCGTGATACGAACATTAACACGTACCACACAACGGAGTACACAAACTAACATTATTCATTTCGAATAATGAATGAAAAAATTGAATGAATGAATTTTGAATATTGAATAAATATTCATTCAATTTTTTATCATTTTTCCTAACCCAAGTGAACATTTCGCTCATATTCACTAAGATCCTCTAGTCTGACACAATGCAAATGTGCAAGAGTTGTGTGCAAAAATTGGCTATTTCTTCTGACAGACCGATTATATATATAAAAAAATTACTCCAAAAATATTTTAATGAAAACAATTTGACGAGCATTTACATACGAGTTGAAGATAAGCTAAGATAATATCTATCATCGGTGAAATACAACCAGTTCATTTGTCATCACGGGTCATAGGAATTTAGTAGGAAAACACATAAAAAGTATGAATGTAACGACGGAATGAAAATCTTTTTCAAGTTATTTCATCTCGACTATTATTCCTCAGGAATACCTGAGATAATTTATAAACACTGCAAAGTTATAGAAATTCACAAAATCGTTCGAGTAAATGGTTATTATTCACTGGATGGGATCAAATCGTACAACTTGTTGGATACACGTCGTTAATACATCGTGTAATTTTCGCACGTCCCAGTCAAAATTAGAAGCATGCAGCGTAGGAGCCAGGCCGGCGCCGAACAAAAAGCATGATAGGAGCAGGGGGGGCAGGAAAGCAGCAGGCATGACCGCTTATTACGGGGTTCAAAAGAGTCGGTGTAAGGACTTATTTACGGGGCTGGCGTCCGGCTGCAACGCATCAGTCCTGCCGTGCTCGGGCTCACTGCCGACGCGCCCCATATCTGCTCTCATCAGGCTCATTACATCTTCTTTCGGGGATAACTAAACAATTCTGTCCACGTAATTAAACGTTCATTTTAAATAAATTTTCAGGCATTTACATAAGCTATACCCAAAAAATGGATGAATTGGTAGAAACACGGATTAGACTATGATGCTGCTGGCTTCATACTCTATGCATCTTTCATACTCTCAATAGTCTGCTATAACACATTTATGATCATTATTCTATATTCTAGTACAACTGTGTCTGAAAAAACTCGTTAACATGGTATGCCACTGAATATATACATCAATAACGTGAAGGTCAGGGAAAGCGTCAAAATATGATAAACATAGATCAGAAGTCATCATTCATAAGTCATATGAACGAGATTAAACAATGTTCTATCTTCTTCCTTAACTACAAAATTCACAAACCCCCCATTAGCCGAAATAGCCAAAATCATATTATATTTCGATGAAAGAAAGGAAGATTCTTTCATTCAAATCGAAACGTGTACGAGGTACTAGTATCAACGCAAGTTCAGTGTTACCTTCACCTTCTTACCTGTTAAGGTAAAACGGTTCAACATCTTCGAATTAGTTTTTGAGTCAAGGTAAAGTATAGGCTATGGCCGATTTCCATTTGGCATGTTTATCCACGACCTTGATTAGTTGACGTTTTTCAATGAGTTATTTAAGGCCGAAGAACCTTTCCTGGCTGGACCAACCCAAGTAAAATTGTAAAAAAGTGTCTAAAAAAATTTTTTTTACACTTTTAACCCTAATTCTAACCCTAACCTAACGAGGTTTTCGTTAATTAGCATGCCGCAGAATGGCGTTCATCTTTTTTTGTGTCGCACTATTAGCAAATACTAATCATATGTAGATTCTGCGACATGGGTAGATTCCGAGACAGTAATTGTGCGACATTCTGCCGCACAATATGCCAACTTTAAGATAACATTGACATTTATGGCGACTTTTTCTTTACGCCGAGTTTGAGTGGATAATAGGTTTGATGCACTAAAGGACCTAGATGATACAAATAGCAATTTTCTAGGAAGTATTAAGTTACCTTACTCGGTTAGTATTTTTCTAGTAGAACACTATAATTTGTCTTTATCGCAAAGTTTGTATTTCGAATGCAGAAATGTCGCACTCGAGCGTGGAGAGAGCAGGTCTACTGTCCAGCGTGCAGCTGCGGCTGCTGCCCACCGACGACACCTTCGCTCTCCGAGGAGCCGCCCTCGCCAGCGCCATGAAGCACGACGCCGAACTCGGCCTCATCCCATTTTGCGTCAGTTGACCTTCAAACGTTTTGAACCTAATTATTAAACTCAGACCTAAACTGCACCAGGACCAGAACTGTTCTGCGAGTTCTGGTCTTCAACAATTCCCACACTACACCCAATATTGAAACTACTCCTGCAAAGAGACATTTAACAACTTCTGCGGAAGAAGTGACGTATTGACTGGCAGCGACTCGCTATATGCCGCAGTGATATTATACTAAATACGTTATAGCCCAATAATCTTACGTTTTTCGAAACTCGCTATCCTTCACTAATTTGCAATAACCATTAGGCTATATAATTATCCTCAGGTGGTCGTGACGCTGGGAACCACCGCCACGTGCGCCTTCGACAACCTGCATGAGATCGGCGAAGTGTGCCGCGGTTACTCTGGCGTCTGGATCCATGTCGACGCTGCTTACGCAGGTCTCTTATATCGTCTGATACTTCCAAGTGTCAATATAACGTAGTAAAAAACTCGGAGATTTAAAAGAAGCAATTACTTCCTAACTAATATACTCATCAGAAGCATACATCAGAGTTTGTTGAAAGACATTGAATGTCTAGGAATAGAACTTGATCTAAGAGGAAAATGTTATTCATGTTTTAACATCATTTTACTTACATTCAGTCAGAATAGAATATATATAGAAGCAGACACTTTTATTCATCTCCATTGCCAAGTTTTCTTCGAAAATTCGTGTTCGTTAGGCGCCGCTTTCGTGTGCGAAGAATTCCGCGGCCCCATGAAGGGCGTCCACATGGCGGACTCGTTCAACTTCAACCCCCACAAGTGGCTGCTCGTCAACTTCGATTGTTCGACCATGTGGTGCGCTGAGTTATGCTAGAATTTCTGTACATCATACACGATTGGATGTGCAATTTAATTCTTCGTAATTTCAATTGCAATATTGCTCCAACGTTGTAAATCAACCAAGACGTAAAAGTTTTCACTGTTTGCCTGAGTAAATAGATATTAAGAGTTTAATAATGATAAACTTTACAGTATTTCTTGAACTTTAATATTAAAATTAATTTTGAACATGAAAATAACAGGGGAATGGTTTCTTTCGAGACACTGAATTAAATCATGTCTCAGTACCCGTAGACCCCCAAGAGGTATTCTGTCTACAAGTTGAATTTATTCAATAATACTTCATTGATTTTTTATGCTAGGATCCGTAATTCGGAAGAGGTCGTTGATGCATTTCACGTGGACCCGATTTACCTGCGCCGCCAGCATCAAGCTAATCCAGAAGCGCCTGACTACAGGGTGAGCAAAAGCCAGCTTAAGATTTGTACACAGATTAATGTAATGTAATGACCATGCTGGACCATGCTCCTGACTACAGGGTGAGCCTAAGCCAGCTTAAGATTTGTACACAAGATCAATGTAATGTAACGACCATGCTGGACCATGCACCTGACTACAGGGTGAGTGTCGACCAGCTTAAGAT